CACATCCTCAACACATCCTCATGCTAGACATCTGCCTGAGCGATTTGGGCACGCGAAGCAAGCGTCTCGCTGAAGACATCCTCAACAAATCCTCATGCTAGACATCTGTCTGGGCGACCTGGAAGCGTGAAAACAAGCGTCTCGCTCAAGACACCCTCAACAATTCCGCATGCTAGACATCTGCCTGGGCAACCTTGACGCGTGAATCCAAGCGTCTCGCTCGAGTCATCCTCAAGAAACAAGCATTTCACCAGAGACATCCTCTGAATCCTGGTCCCCAGGAGAGGAACGATCCATAGCACAAAAAAAGCGTTTCGCTCGAACCATCCTCAACCAATTGCAAGGCAAGCGTTTCGCTCGAGACACCCGCAACAAACGAAAATGCGTACTTTCTCTTGTGTTTTATCGATCGGAATTACAACAACATGAATTTCGCTGGGAACATCCTCAACTTTGTAATTCGCCGGCCCTACGCGACCTCCTTATTTATCGCAGATTACATTCGGCGGCCCTACGCAAGCCGAGGCCGGTGGGAAACCATCCAAAAGAAACCCATGGCCCAGGTCCTTTCTGGGAACATGATCGACCCACGAACCCGGAAAGGAATATAGAAATGTCAGGCATTGCAACATTTCAAAGACACCTGATTGGGCGACGGGCACATGCAATGCTGAATGTATCGATGATGATGTACTGTGCCGAGGGCTGTGCTGTGCTGGGCCGTGCTGAACTGCGATGTGCCATGCCGCGATTGTGCTCTATATAGCGTTGTGGATCGAGTCCTCCCTGGCATCCGAGTCCTCGCCGAACTGATCTGGATCGTAAGCTCGAGCTGCCTGACTGAGCAGATGGTAGCTGCCCCAGAACTAATCGACAGAAGGAACATGCCAGGAGGACGCGCCGCGGAACGTCCCAAGGGACGCGCCAGGCGACGTGCCAGGGGACGTGCCATTGGCTCGCACCGCGGGACGTGCCAAGGGGACGCGCTACGGAACGTGCCAATGGACGTGCACCGCGCGACGTGCCAGGGGGACTCGCCACGGGACGCTCCGCGGAACGTGCCAGGCAACATCAGGCTGCAATGCTAAAGGTATCGATATTGATGTACCGTGCCGAGGGCTGCGCTGTGCCTGGGCGACCTGGACACGTGAAAACACGCATTTCGCTCAAGACGTTGTCAACACATCCTCATGCTAGACATCCGCCTGGGCAACCTGGACACGTGCAAACAAGCGTCTCGCTCGAGACACCCTCAACAAATGCTCATGCTAGACATCCGCCTGGGCGACCTGGACAGGTGAAAACAAGCCTCTGGTTCGAGACATCCTCAACCAATCCTCATGCTAGACATCTGTCTGGGCCACCTGGAGGCGTGAAACCAAGCGTCTCGCTCGAGACATCCTAAAGACCTGGGCACGTGAAAACAAGCAATCCACTTGAGAGATCCTCAGAATTCAGGTCCCCAGGAGAGGACAATCTATAACACAAAACAAGCGTTTCGCTCGAGACATCCTCAACAAATTCTGAAACACAAGCGTTTCGCTCGAGACATCCTCAAATTTTAATTCGCCGGCTCTATGCGACCTCGTTATTTATCGCAAAAGAAATTCGCCGGCCCTACAGCCGTCAAAACCGAGGGTAAACCTACCCCGACCCCTTGAAGCGTCATTTGTTTGGCGCATGCGCCATCTTTTCCCCGCGCGCACCATCATAGATCCCGCGCGCGTGGTTTCATAGAGCGCGCGCGTCATTTCTGCAACGCACGCGTCATAATGCCGCTCAGAGGGCGCCATTTTACATAAAATGACGCCCCGAGGCGTCGTTTTTGCTTGGGCGTCGTTTTGGTTGTTTCGTTGTTTTTCGTTGTTCGTATCGTTCGTGGGTTTATTTGTTTCTAGGCGTGCGCGTTGGTTTTGCATCGTTCGTTTGGTATGTTCGTGGTGGCGCTTGTTTGATTGATGTTGTTCGTTTGCCCGTTTGCGTGTGTGTTGTTAGTTTAAGCTTACGTGATGCATGTCGTGCGTGATTGCGTGATTGTTGTGTTCGTTTGTTAGCTTCCTTTGTGTGTTGCTTGCTTGTTTGTCTGTGTGTTTGGTTGTTGTGTATTTTATTGTTAGTTTGGGTATTGCCTGCCGAACGCACGCAATCCAGAAGCTATAATACGGCCGATAGCGATCAGGAGACCGTTGCGAAATCAATGGGATTACCATACTTGCAAACGTAATCACGTGTAACGGGTATCAGACTTATCTTCGACATAAAGGTGAATTTTGAACGCCACAGGTTATAGGCTTCGCCGCCGTGGGCCATGGAGAACAAACATCGGTTTCGCACCTTCGATGCAATGGCCAATGGCGCAAACCATCGGCTTCCCACCTATGGGGCCGTGAACCATTGTTGACGCAACACGGCTATCGTATTCACAGCCTCGTTCGGTTGCGCAAGCCCTCGGGGTATTATATATTACATGCGTGGCCGCATTCCATTCTGGATTCAATAGGGCTGTCACCAACCGCTATCCTATATGAGTCGTGCTGGACGTGGGACCTGGTACGCAGAGGCGAGCAGCACCGTTGGCGTGGCGATGATATCCGCCGACGTCTGCGATGCGGCCGCTCATCTTAACAAACCTCCTCTTCCTCCTCATCCTCATCTTCCTCCTCGTCCTCCTCTCAGGTTCCTTCTCCCCCCCGTCCCTTTCCTCCCCGCCAACCCTCCCCCCCCGCCTCCCGTTCCCAGGGGCCCGACCAGCCCCCCGGGGCCAGCCAAGGGGCCTCCAAGAGGTCCAAGAGGAACCCCACGCGTGGCGGTGAGCCGAAGGCCGCTGGACACGTGCCCCTGGAGGACCCCACCGCCTCCCAGCCCTGCACGTCAGTCAGCTAGGCGACGAGCCCCGTGAGGCTCGCCAGGAACTCCCCCGAAAGGCGGCCCATGGGCCCGTTGGGCGCCGAAACACGGCGCCCAACGGATGGACCAAATGTCACAACCAACGGATGGAGAGGCACGATCGAGTCGGCGGGCTATGTTTTCAAATCGACGTGTGGAGCTTGTTTGGGCTATTTAGTGGTCCGAGCCTGGGTTTTGTAAATCACTGTTCTGGGTCCGTGGTGCATTGTGTTACGCACTCTTAGACTAAATCACAGTTTGGAGCATCACTGTAACCGTGATATACACATACATATGCATATACCTACATCACTGTTCGGGATCCACGTTGGAGACATTCGTTGGGTCCACGTTAGATAGGGACAATTACAATTTGGGGTCCACACTGGAACACTGTTTGCCTCTCCATAAGCACGCCCCCGTTAACAGTCGAACTGGAGCACCAACCACTTTCACAACACCATATGGGCCAAATTGCCTGGGTGGAGGCTCTTCGCGATCTCGTTCATGATCCGTTGCAGGTCCTCGTCGCTGTAGGTCCAGTAGAAGCGAGGGTTGATCACGTTTTGGTGTTCGCTCATGTGAACGAACATATGGAATTTTGGTGTCATTTTCCATGCCCTGATCCCATTTGCAATTGCTTCCACCGAAAGTCCCCCATGCACATGCATGAAAGCACGGGCCAGCTGCGCCATCTCGTCCTTCACTGGCTGGGGTGGGAACGTGTCATTCTCGCATGTCAAATCGTAAAAGCGCGCGAGGAGCTCGCACGCAGCAAGCCGCAACCGATCGTGTTCGGAGCCCGAATTGTAGCGCTTGGCCAAATCCGCCGCGTATGGGACGAGGCAACGGGTGGCACCAGCTTTTGCCTGCTGGGTCGCACGCGCATGTATCATAGATCTGTGTTTTTTTTTTTGGGGGGGGGGGCTAGATGCACCCAACATGCCCAAATATGTTAGACCCCAAGAGGGACCACGAGGTCCCCAAGAGATCCCCAATGGGGCCCTCAAGAGGCCCTAAATCTACCCAAGAGCCCATAGAAGAGGTTTCACGCGACCCAACAGAACATCAAACCAGCCTCTGGCCCACAACCACAGGCACGGTGGCGGGATGGGCCGACGGCCACAGAGCAAGTCCTTTCGTATGTGCATGTGCAATTACAAGTACACACACACATATGAAAACATGCTTTATTGTGCAACATGAAAATACGTGGCTCCATCCACGTCGCACGGATACACATGATGTACAATTACAGCGTACCACCGAGCAAGACAATGTGCTGTTGCATGTATATATGCAGTTGCGTTTCTATAGATGTAAACTAGCTGTTGCACACAGGCGCGTATCTAAATGTGTTTAGATTTGTTATTGTGTGCACAAATAATAAATATGTGTATGCATCACAGCGTTCGTGACTGTGTATTTCGTGTGCGCATTGTTACATGTAGTTCTGCGCGTGCATGCATGCACGCGCATGCAAACGAAGGCTCAGTCATATGCACGCGCGTGTTGTTAAACATGAACACGTGCAGGTATGCGTACTCGGGCACGACTTGTACTCTCATACGTGTGTGTAAGGGTAAGGGTATATGCATGCTCATACCCGTACAAACACATACACGTACACATGCCTATACATGCATAGCGTGTATCCGTGTACGTGTATGTGATGATGGGTGAGCGCGTGCGCGTGGATACGTTTGCATGTATGCGTACACGTGTTTCACAAGTATGTGTGTATGTTAGCGCGTATGGACACCCATGCGAACTGCGAGGTTCATGTGCGTGCGTGCGGCGTTCATGTATAGGGGCCCGTAAGTGTTCATGCACACGGCGTGCCAATGCATGCACAATACATGCCCATGTCTGTCTATGCACATACATGCACATGTACATTCACATGCGTATGCACACGTGCATGCATATTCACGTATGTATGCACATACGTCGTGAAGAGTTGCTGCCTTGCAATTCCCTCCACCTCGGCTCCTCCACCCATCGTCCCTCCTTGGTGGCCCGTCCGGCCCCCTCCCTCCCTCCCCGCGCCTCTGGGAAGGGGCGGAGGTTGGAGGGGGCGGTGGCGATTGCTGGGGGATTTTTTTTCTACCATGCTAAGGCGCCTTTAGCGTCGGCCAGTCGGCCTGCGTGCGAAGCCTGGCGAAGACAAGCTCGCCCTGCAGCCTGTGGGCGAGCTTGTGCGAGCGGCGCCACTGCTTGATGTCGGCCACAAGCCCTTGCATGTGTGATTCCCTGTTCGGGCCCCATTGCCCGCGCGCCATGATTTCGACGAGCACGTTTGCTATTAGGTGGCTGGACACGCCCAGGTCCAAACAATGGAGAATCTCTACCACGATGCCCTCAAACCTGAAAGATATGATCTTGAAGAAGTTACTGAGATGCCTGCCACCACGTCGGCAGCTCAACAGGTGACTGTTATGCGCGACAAGTGTTGCTCTCCAGCCCGCCCCAAGATCAGCCCGAGAGAAGCGCATGTCGCCTCCTGCGAGGGTCGCGCCGCACAACTAGCAGCACTCCGCGTTGTTCCACCTGTGGAGGTGCAAGAAATCCGAGTAGTACTCCCAATCACCTCGCATCTGAATGGTAGCGAATATTCCCCCATAGCACAACGTTCTGCCTGCCTCTGGGTGGGGCACGCCGTTGTGCTGAAGAGCGGGCATCACGCCTTTGAACAATGCGTTGAAACTCCAGGCAATGCGATCCACCATCTGCTCGAACATGTCTAAGTCGAGATCCGACTTCTTGAATGCTGTGACGACATCTCTCGTAGCAATCGCGTCGCCATGGCCTAACAGGCTGTTGAACTTAAGCGTGAAAAGGCCGTCGGCTTTCGACGTCGGGGCAGCATCGCCATGTAGGCCCAAAGGTACAGTAGTGGACGAGATACGCGAAGCATTGCACTTGTAGGTCGGGTGATCCCGAGGGGCGTGCCAGAATTGGGCGGTCTCGCCATCTTCTCCAGTGATCCGTTGTTTGAGCACCAAAGGGCCCTTACGGTACCATGCCTCCAACGTGTCGATCGGGTCGACGAACGGGTGGAAGATCACGTCGCCGTTGGTGTTCTTCAGCTCTGCCCAGCTGATCTGCGGTGCTCGAGCTGGCGTGCCAACGGCGCGACACACTGCCCTGAACGCGTGCTTGGATTGCAGGTTGGATGTACCAGCGCAAGCGCCGATGTTCTGCGCCCCCTGGGAGGCCGCGGCCCTGGCGAACTTGATCACGCCAGGGCTGCTGATGGATCCCATGGCCCATCTCCTCCGCAAGAGGTCTGTGAATTCACGAGCGTCTCCTCCGCAAGGCGTCGCACCCTCAAGGTCTTCGACGCGGCGCCTGATGCCCCTGCCGTCGGAGGGCGCAGCGCTGCTGGCCTCCTCGTTGCACCGCTGAGGCGACATCCGCTTGCGAAGCCCACCGTGCGCCTCGGGAACTCTTGGGGCGCCATCTGCATGGCAAGGCTCAGGCACCAACCCCTGGCGGATGCCGTGGCCTCGTGGAGGCATGAGTAAGCACACGGTGAATAGAAGCACCTGGGCGCATAGTCCACCCAGCGCCGACGGCGCTGGGGTTTGAGCCAAAAAGGCTGCAGGGTAAAGCGGGGGAGGAATGGGGGCGGGAGAGGGACAGAGGGGGCAACAATGACGTTCTGCATGTGTTCCAGTTTGCGAAAAGCCGTGGCTCGAGGGGCGGGGGGTGGGTGGGTGGGCAGGGTAAACATTTTGCATTGTCCCCCTGCTCGCCCCTCGCCCTCACGAGTGCACTCTCTCTCGTGGGTAGCTCTTTAAGTCAGTCAGCCCAGTCACTCAGTCAGTCCAATCAGTCAGTCAGTCCAGTCAGTCAGTCTACTCGTTGATGCATCAACCAGTCAGTTCTTTTAGCCACCATTAGATGCATACCCAGTAAGTCCAGTTAGTCAGCCCAGCCAGTCCACCAGCCAGTCAGTCCAGTCCATCAGCCAGTTAAACCAGTCAGTCCAGTCAACCAGTCAGTCAGTCCAGTCGCTGATGCATCAACCAACCAGTCCAGTCAGTCACCGTCGGGTGCCTACTCACTCAGCCAATCCAGTCAGTCCAGTCATTCCATCAGCCAGTCAGCCCAGTCAGTCAGTCCAGTCAGTCCAGTCGGTCACGAGTTTGATGATGTTGTGGATGATGATCACAGTTGATAATCTCTCTACGCTCGCTCGCCGCCCCGTCCAGCGAGCACGCCGACGCATTGCCATGTGTCCCTGCACCTGGCTATCACCCCCGTCTGTGTGACTGGCCGTCGAGACGGGCCGAAACGCATGCAGGACATCAGATCTTCTGTTTTTTTTTTTTCTGCTGGCTCTCCTTCGGGTTGAACTTGTTGAACCACTCGGCAGAAGAGTTCAGCGCATCGAAGGCCTTGTCGATGTTCGTGCTCAGTGCCAACATCGTGGCCTCGCCCGCCCCCTGCACGACGGCGTCTTCGACCGACACAAAGATCTGCGTCATCTCCTTGACGTTGTTGGCGATCTCCTTGTTGAGCTCACCTAGGAACTTCCCGCCCTTCGAGTCCATGAGCATCTGCTTGGCGATCGTCAACGCTTTCCCGATGTTGAACACTACCTTCTTCCCGTCCGTCTTCAGTGCCTTGAAGGTCGCGCTCTCCTCGGGCTTCACCTCCGTTGGCTCGCCTTCCTCCTGCTTCACAGCGACCAAGCCCGCACCCGCAGCCGAACTTCCAGCGTTGCATGCCCTCATGGATGCGAATGATGCCTCCGCTTCCATCTGCCTCTCCTCGGTGTCAAGGTCAGCCTCGGTGCCGAGCTCGTGCGTGTCCCGCTCCTCGTCGCCCTCCTCGCGGCTGTCCAGGTTGACGGCGTACTCCCTGCTCCACGGCCCGTCCTTCCCAGTGTCGCGATCGGGGCGCCATTTGGTTGGGTCCTTGTCGAAAACCTCTGCCTTCTCCTTCGCCTTCTGCTCTCCGAATTCCGAAATCATTTTGTTGAGGCTCCACCACACGACCTTGATCGTGTTCTTCTTGAGAAGGGTGACCGACTTCTTGGACTTCGCCGTGCCTCCACTCTTGAGCTTATCTGCGAACCATGTTTGGAAGTACTCACGCCTTTTTCCAATCGGCCACCCGTCGTACGTCTTCTTCGCCCCGTTCGTCTCGAGCCAGTGCACCATGGACGCGCGAGCTCTCTTGGCCTCGTCGGCGTCCTTGAGGAGATCCTTTGCCTTCTCGAGCTCGTCAGCTGACACCGTCGGCGCCTCCAACGTGCGCTTCTTCGGCGGCGTCGGAGGTTCCCACGGAGCGGCTGGCCCCAGCACTGAGCGCGCTCTTGAGCCAAAGCGGCTACGGCCAAGGGGCCCTTCCCACGGGGGCCCCCTGGGCCCCTGGGGCCAACAAAAACCAGGTGAAAAAAAAACAGAAAAAAACAGAAAAAAAACAGGGTGAAAAACAGTCTGTTTTTTCTCTGTTTTTTTGGTGTTTCTCCCGGGGGGCCGGGGCTCGGCGCGGGACGGATGGGGGAAGGAGGACACAGGGGGGGGGTGGGGAGGAGCTCGGGGAGCTCAGAGGGGGGGTGGACGGGAACGAAGAGGGGTAGGAGTAGGACGTGGGTGCAATCCGAAAGGGCACACCGTGTACGTGCGCTAGCAACGGTATGCGATCCCCAAACAGCGCTTGCATTCCCCAAACAGTGCTTGCGTTCCCCAGGCTGCTATATATCATCCCCATAACAGTGCTTGCACGTATTCCCCAAACAGCGAAACGGCATTATTCAAACAGTGCTTGCGTTTTTGCATGCTTGCCTAAGTGCCCTCGGCTGTTACTTCACCTCTGAGGTGCATAAGGTGCCTAAGGTGCCCAACCCTGCAACTGCTTCCATTCTCCAAACAGTGCTTGCACCTTGTAGCGGGCTCCCCAAACAGTTACGCTCCCCAAACATTGATTGCATTCACCAAACAGCGCTTGCACTCCCTAAAGCGCACAGCCGCAATGCTTTTCCAGACTGTAGTCTCCAAGCACTTTTTTCCCGAGCACGCGCTGCTGAAGAGCGACCGTCTGCCACGCACGCTGAAGTATCCTCGAAGCGGTGCCTTCGCACCGCTGGGCGAGCCTTGTGACTCGACGACTTACTCATGGCACTCCTTGGCCACGATCACGGCTGGCCACTCGTCGAGGCTGGCGCTGCTGCTGGAGGCGAAGGCTCTCTGGACGAGGTGAAGGTGCTCTGTGGATTCCAGGTGCTCTCGTCGACGACCTCCTCAAACATCTTGCGAATCACCTGTTTGGACGCGAACTTGATGTAGGCCTTCTTGTACTTGCGCTGGGCCATGCCACCGCCCGACCTCATGTTAGCCTCATTGATGTCTAGCTGCGACCGTGGATTGCGCAACCCCCTGGAGAGACAGCCGATGTTGGAGAGGATCGAACGGCCATCTTCGCGAACTCCTTGAATTACTGCGTCCGAGAAGGCGTTCGCGAACGACAGGGCCTGCTTGTATTGGATCTTGAGAGACGTAGCAATTCTCTGGACGAAGGCACGCTTGTTGCCACGCTTAGGCTCCCTACCCATCTGGAGGGTGGAAGCTCTGGGGATCAGCTCGGTGGTGCTGGCTCGAGCCTAGATGTATCCAGTTGTGGTGACGCGGGGTGCTGGTGATAGTGCAATGGTCGCGCTGGCGATGGTGATGGTGGTCATGATGCAAACGATGCTTTCACCCCCAAATGGGGGCTGAATTCCCTAAGCAACGCTTGCATGCCCAACACAATGAACAGACCCGTTCCAAACAGTGCTTGCACGTATGCGTTGTGCTCCTAGGGCGTCCTCGATTGAACGTTTTACTCCTAAAGCGTCTTAGTCTTGATCGCCCAAGATGGTCCACCATTTCCTATGATCTCCTCTATCGACGGCTGCATTCCCCAAGCAGTGCTTGCACCTTCGCGCGCTTGTTGTAGTTCCCCCATCAGCGCTTGCACTCTCCAAGTAATGCGTTTGTTCCCGAACCAAAGCTTGCATCCTCCGTGTAGTCCGACGCGTGGATGGTGATCGTGATGCTGACGAGGAAGACCACTGTGCACGCAGACGCGTCAGACCCGCCTACAGCGGGCTAGCGGCTAGAGTATCCTTGAGGTGGCGCCGTCGCGCCGCTGGACAAAGCGAGAATGGCGGATCGCTCTCACTCGACCGAGTCCTCGACCTGCACGACCTCGTGATCCGCGACGGCCTGGCTCTCTTCTTGCAAGGTCTCTTGCAAGGTATCTACCTGCTCGAGCGCCCTGTCGCAGGTGTCCGCGGGGCCCGACGCAGCGCGGCGCAACTTCTTGACCCCGACAGGCTGCATCAAGTTCTGGACAACCTCCATGACTTCCAGGAAACGTACCGCCAAAGGGTCCAGCGCGTTGTCGACGAACGCATCGAGGTCGAACGCGCTCTCGGGGGGTGGGCCTCCAGGGAAGACCGACTCGAAGGTGCTGTAGGCGATGGTAATGGCGTTCGACAGCGCATCCACTTCCTCAGCCACGGACCTTGTATACTTGGTGTCCAGCTGGCCACCCGACGCCCAGGCCCCGAGGAGAAACATCGTGTTCTTGCACTCGTTGGCCACCTTGTCTGCGCGGAGCTCGCCCCACCGACTGTCGGGCCCAAGCGGGCCCCAACGGCTTTCCGCGCCAGGGGCCACAAGCACGGCGCTCTCGACATCAATCGCCGTTGGAAGCCGCGGTCCGAGCGAAGAGCTAGCACCTTCCTCCATGAAAGAATCACCCTGCTGCTCTAGCTCCAAGAGGTGCTCACGTTCGAGGTCAGACATGCTTCGTAGCATATACTTCTACTGCGTGGGAACGTGAGCCAACATGGCTATGGATGGCAATGGCAATGATGGTGATGTTGCTGCGTATGACCTCACCCTCGTCATCATCATGGTGATGATGGTGATGACGATGATGGTGATGATGATGAAGATGCTGATGATGATGATGACCATCACCATCATCATCGTCGTTACGTGCACTATCAGCATCACCGTCACCGTTAACATCGTCACACTCCTGATCACAGCCGCCCATCATCTTTACCAGCCATAGGCGGAAATGCGAGGAGGACAACATGACGAGGTTTTGAGGATGAGAGGGCTAAGGGTGAATGCGAAGAGCGAGGAGGGCGGATGGCAGGAGGAGGCCGGGGACGCGGATGGTTAGCGTGATGATCTTGGGGGGCGAAGTGCGTTCATCTTCGGACTTGCCCCTAGGAGGTCGAACTGTTGCTGGCTCCTCGGGGCCGAGCGCCCCAGCGTGTCAACGCGCGCGTGCAATCAAAAGATGCCTGTGAAGCCATGCCCACTGCCTTTCGGACGCTGGTACTTGTTACGGAGCTCGTCCGCCCACGCAGTCGCTGCCGCCTGCGCTGCCTCCCGGACCTTCTGCG